CAATATTCATTGCAACACAATCGAGGATGGGTGATAGGCTATGGCCCCATGGTCATAGATAGAGTCCTGGTCCATTAGAAAAACACAGACCCGCTATGCTGCTGCTGGACCACACTTACCCACTTGATATGTTCCAGGTGAAATTTCAATGTATAGTGGCTTTAGTAGATAGTTCATTTCTCCTGACCTTATCTTCCCACAGAGAGTGGAATAATTGCAGCTGGCCCCACTGAAGGAATGGTGTGGATCTCTAAAAGGAAGAAGAGACACTCAGGTTTGTTGATACCAATAACATTAGAAGATGACAGCATGGTGATACAATTGCAAAACTTGGTCCTACTCCACTTTGGAGGAGGCCACCATGAGCTGCAGACCCACCACAGCCCCATAATCACATGGAGTGGTCAAGAGGAAGGTACACAAATATAAAAATGAAGATGCTTGCTGCTGCTGGCCTTACTCTGTGACTTTTGTGCCTTCTGGGTCATGGGGCTTCTCCTCGTACCCAGAGAAGCAACACTAGAAAATTATTGGAATCACACAGCACTTAGCTGCAACTTCACCCCAAGATTGGGGGATGGCCAGTGTAGGAGCCCAGCCATAGAGGGGCTGCACCTGATATGACACCAAGCGTGGATACTACCTGGACAATTTTAAATGGAACCAATGGCACAAATGCTTAAAGACCACCAGTCCTGTTCAAATGGTCACTGACATCTGACCTCTAGGCACTGGCCATTATATTGCTCTATATGTAACCCTAATTGGCTGATAGGCTTATGTATTTCAGACTTATCTCAGCTAATAGAGAGCCAAATATTAGATTGTCAGGAAAATATAAATAACTTTTCTTTAAAACAGGACTGCACATGTGCTTCCAACCTTTACTATTTATGGATAGAAACCTATGTCATAGAGTAGAGCACTATCTAATCATTTGTGAGGTGAACACCTGAGGACCCCAAAATTACTTGCAATTTTACATACCAGAAAATGCTCTTAATGGTGCAAGGAAACCTTAATCAGGGCATCCCACATAGTAAATGCTCCATCATTTTTAGTTATTATCAATATCATAACTGTTAGACTCATCTACAGAATAGACTTAAGTCAGAGAAGTAAAGTAACTTGACCAAGTTACTTTACTGTGACCCTGTTAAACCCCTTGATCCCTCCCTGGGAGAGCTATCCCTCTCTGGGACGGCTTCCTCCACCTGTGATAATGCTGGAGATGACAGCAGGACATAGCAACATGGATAACACAGGACACAAAGATTTAGAGAGATGACAATACCCTGGCCCACAACATCATAAGACACATCCACATCCACATGCTGCCTCTACAGCTTTCTGCAGTAACAGAAGTGACATGGTGGTTGATGATTGCTGGACTAAATGCTTGTCTATCTAAATTCTCTGCTGATGACCCCTTTGATTGGCATTTCGCAGAGTTGACTATGTGTTTACCCCAGAACTCCCTTGTTAACAGTAGGTCTTTCGGCTTGAGTGTGGGGCTGTACCATGATTGCCAAACTGCTCTGGGCTATACCTTTGAGCTTTGGAAGGCCAAGGGATGTGTTGAGTCTCACAACATTATGCGGCCCCTTTGAACATTCCACTTAGCTGTTTGACTTCATCACATTCCAGTAGATTGGCCTACAATATGCATCCTACTCCAAGTTAGTAAATTTAATTTCTGGTGGGAGGATCCTTCCTTGGCAGTGGATGCTACCACTACCACAGCGTAACATCCTCCAGGATCACAACAATAAGATCACTTCCCTACACCACCCTTCCCTCTGGTCACTAATCATGATTCCACAATCCTCCCATTCAACCACTTAAATAGTCTTAATATTTTTATACAATGGGCAGATATCGAAGCTCATTTTGGGAGCCATAGTAATTACTGGGGATGTTAGCAAGTTCAACAAATGCCATTTCCTGAGTTAGTGGCCCACACAGCTTAATTTACTGACCTTGTCCCCATTTGCCCCAAAGAAGGCAATACATCCATTTCTGCAGTTTGTCTGGTCACTATGTATGGTGCTCAACTGCTTTTATGTGGACACTTTGCAATACAGTACGTGGCACCTGGAGGGAACCCCCACATGCCATTCATAATCTTCCATATCTGCCCAGGCACCAAGCCACATGGATGAATACAGCCTACACCTCATCCCAAGGAGCATAATCTCTATGGTCCTGGGCATCCAAGCCTAGCCATCTTGTGGTAACCCCAACTTATTTTGGCTTCCCTAATCACACTGTCCAGTGCTTTGGGGCTGTCACACATGTATAATTTACCACATGGATATGTTTGCTTCTGTGCCAGGCCCCAGAGAGTCCTGCCTGTTCATAGCAATATACTTTAGTTTTCCTGAGACTACCCATAAAAGCCACTGAACATAACCTCCAGCCCATCTCGCTTTCTGACCCCTCATGTCAAATGCATGCAGTATTCATCTTCATTATACTAGGAGTAGGTCTGCTAGTATCTCTTACAGGGACAACAAATCCACCAACAAATCATGAAAACAAACACCAACCTGTCAGCCATCCTGGCTGAACATATTGGGCTGTTACACCAAAACTTAGCCTTAATGCAACAACATGACCCTTTGCACAGACACTTTTGGATAACTGTTTAGCTTTATATTACTTATTGGCCTAGGAAGAAGGTGTATGTGCTGTAAAGTGTACCCCATGCCACATGCATATTAATGATAACGTAAAAATTAGGACATATTTACAAAAGATGTCCTAACAGGGGAAAGTATTCCATGATCTTACACAAATACCTACCATAACCTTATCTTTGTGTCTAGACCTCAGCAAGTGGAGAGATGGTTATAGACAGCATTTTATAGTCATTTTTTACTTTCCTCAAATGTTTCTTGTGCTGGGTGACCAAAACTCTGCCAGTGTCTTTTAATATATCCACCAGAGAGTGCCTATGATTTCCCATAAAGATTAATGACTAGGCTGAGTTGCTGCATTTTACCGTATAATAACCCTGTTCACACCCAGAGTCTGGACAGTTAGTTAAGGATGCTCCCTGTAAGTTCCTGCTTTACTTTTCCTGGGCACCTATTAAAATAATCACTTAAAGTCAAGCCTATGAAAAATTAGTGACCTCCAGAGAGGAGAGTTCAAGATGGCAATGAGGAAGACCCTGAACTTACCTCCTCCATGGATACACCAAATCTATACCTATTTACAGAGCCCTTCTTCCAGAAAAAGTAAAAGCTTACTGAACAGCTCCTGCACAACAAAAGATAGGGAACACATAAGGAACAGCAAGAGAGATGGAGACACAGTAATGAAAGGAATCCCCATCCCCAGTGCTTTGAGCTAAAGTGGGGAGGGATAGTACTAAGGGATTATGAGATTTGTCTGAAGCCATAGTTTAAAAGGACAACTGGAATATAAAAGAACCAGCCCTAAAACCGTGCCAAATGGTGGAACTCGCTCTGTGTTAAAGGGCTGGCAAGTGCCATGGTTTACGTTCCCCTTCAGCCATGCCCTAGGCACTGATAGAAGAACACAGCTGAGCCCTCAGTGCCTTGCCTGGGCCCCACAGCCTCTTCCTCCTTCAGCCCAGTGGTGGTCCCATCTGCCCCCTGTGGGCATTCCTCAGAGGTGTCTGTCCATCTGGGCCTGACATTTGGTCAGCAACTTCAGCACAAACAGGTGCCCTGCTAGCTGCCTTCCTGAGGGCAAGTTTAGGGGAAGGAAGGAAGAGCCAAGCCCCTGCCCAGGCTGCTAATCCACATTCCTCGTAGATGTAAAAATCCTCAACAAACTATTAGCAAACCAAATCCAACAAAACATTTAAAAAAATTCACTACAATCAAATGATTTACTCCAGGGATGTAAGGGTGGTTCAGTATTCACAAACCAATATCAGCGTAATGAACAAGAGGACATTAACAAGTCATTTTTACTTTACTCAAATGGACAAAAACAGAATAGACAAAAAGACATTAACAAGAAGAAGGACAAAACCATATGGGCATTTCAATAAATGCAGAAAAAGCATTTGACAAAATTCAACATCTGTTCATGATCAAAACTCTCAAAGTAGGTTTAGAAGGAGCACACCTCAACACAATAAAGGCTATATGTAAAAAAAAAAAAAAACCCACAGCAAACATCATACTCAATAATGAAACTCTGAGAGATTTCCCCTGATAAGGAACAAGACAAGGATATCCACTCTCACCACTTATATTCAACATAGTACTAAAAGTCTAAGCCACAGCAATCAGACAAATTGGTGAGAAAGTAAAACAGTCATTATTTGCAGACACCAAAAAAACTATTAGAATTAAGTGAAGTGGCAGGATACAAAAATCAATGTATAGAAATCTGTTGCAGTTCTATACACTAATAATAAAGTAGCAGAAAGAGAAATCCACTTACAATTGCCACATGAATTCTAAAATGTGTAAGGAACTGCAAAAGACCCTGAAGAACCACAGCAATCTTGAAAAAGAGCAAAGCTGGACGCATCACAATCCCAGATTTAAAAATATAACGCAAACCTCTAGCAATCAAAACAATATGGTACTGGCAGAAAAACAGACATGTAGGCCAATAGAACAGAATGGAGAGCCCTGAAATTAACCCATGCTTACATGGTCAATTAATCCACAACAAAGAAGGAATACAATGGGGAATATACAATGGGGAAAAGAAATACTCTGTAATAATTGGTGCTTAGAAAGCTAGACTACTTTCTGACACCATGCACAAAAACTTAAAGACCTAAATGTGACCTGAAGCCATAAAATTCCTAAAAGGAAACATAGGCAGTAATCTCTTAGACATTATATTTATGAATATAGTAATATATTTATGAATATTTCTCCTTAAGCAAGGAGGTAAAAAAGCAAAAATAAACTATTGGGAAACAAATTTGAACAGTGAAGAAAACCAACAAAATGAAGAGACAATCTATGGAATGGGAGAAGATATTTGCAAAGGATATATCCAATAAGAGGTTAATATCCAAAACATACAAGAACTTATACAATTCTACATGAAAAAAAAATAACTGATTTAAAAATGGGCAGAGGACCTGCATAGATACTTTTCTAAAAAAGACATACAGATGGCTAATAGACACATGAAAAGATGCTCAACATCACTCATCATCAGGGAAATGCAAATCAAAACCATAATCAGATATCACCTAACACCTCTCAGAATAGCTAATATAAAAATTATAAGAAATAACAAATGTTGGTGAGAATGTGAATAAAAAAAAAGAACCCTCATGCACTGTCAGCAGGAATGGAAATTGGTGTAGCCACTCGAAAATAGTATGGAGATTCCTCAAAAAATTAAAAAAGAAATAACATATGATTCAGTAATTCCACTGTTGTTATTTACCCAAAGAAAATGAAAATATTAATTTGAAAAGATATGCTGCTCCCATTTTAATAGCAGCATTATATACAATATCCAAGATAGGAAAGCAATTTAAGTGTCAACCCATAGATGAGTGGATAAAGAAGTGGTACGTACATGTATGTATACATATACACATATACAAACACAATAGGATATTAGCCATAAAAAGATGAAATCTTGCCATTTGTGACAACATGGATAAACCTAGAGAGTATTATGCTAAATGAAATAATGTCAGACAAATACCATATGATTTCACTTATATGTGGAATCTAAATAACATAACAAATCAACAAAAAGACCAAATAAAAGCAGAAATAAACCCATAAATACAAAGAATAAACTGGTGGTTGCCAGAGAGGAGTGGGGTGGGGGAAGTATAGGCTTCCAGTTATGGAATGAATAAATCACAGAGATGAAAGTTACAGCATTGGAGACATAGTCAATAGTATTGTAATATCATCACATGGTGATTGATGGTAGCTACACTTATGGTGAGCATGGCTTAACATACAGAGTTGTTGAATCACTGTTGTACATCTGAAACGAATGTAACATTGTGCATCAACTATACTTCAATAATAAAAATAAATTCACTTTGCCCTAACTACCTTACAAGTGATATGTGTGTGCCACCTCATGCTATAGCTCCCGTTTTCTCCAGGCCTGGGATGGAGGATTGCCCTTCCCCCAGTTAATTTGTGCCCTTTCAATTCTGGGATCTGTGAGTAATAAGTCTTGTGACTCTACTTCCTTTGTGTGAACATATTGAAACTGTATCTTCAATCCAAAAGACCCTGTGGGTTTCACTTCCACAAAGTGGGAGCTTGGATGCTGAGGGGGGCTACCTGCTGCATCCTTGTGGGTCGCTTGTATCTACTCATGATCTGCATATTCTTTTTTTAAAAATTTTTTTTTCAACGTTTATTTATTTTTGAGACAGAGAGAGACAGAGCATGAACGGGGGAGGGGCAGAGAGAGAGGGAGACACAGAATTGGAAACAGGCTCCAGGCTCTGAGCCATCAGCCCAGAGCCTGACGCGGGGCTCGAACTCACGGACCATGAGATCGTGACCTGGCTGAAGTCAGATGCTTAACCGACTGCGCCACCCAGGCGCCCCTGCATATTCTTAATTTAATATACCAGCTTCAACTTCTCAACATAGGTCGCCAGGGGTTGGAGGGGGTAGGAAAAATAGAGCACAGAGAATGTTTAGAACATAAAAACTCATCTGTATAATACTGCAATGGTGGATACATATTTGCACAAATCCAATGAATGTACAACTCCAATAATGAGCCCTAATGTAAACTAGGGACTTGATGAGATAATGACAGGTCAGTGTAGATTCATCAGTTATAACAAATGTAACAGTGTGGCATGAGATGTCAGTATTGAGAAAAAGTAAGCATGTGCAGGCACAACGTATTTATGCAAACTCACTGTAATTTCCACTAAATGTTTCTGTGATCCTAAAACTGCTCTAAAAATAGATTTTGATCACTTAAAAAATTAAGGGATAGAAAAATACATACTATGCTAACACCAATAAGGAGAAAGAGTAGTTATATCAATTATAGAAAAAACCAACTTCAGAATAAAAAAAATATATTAGCAATAAAGAGAGGCGTTCTAAATGATAATTCTCCCCAAATCATAACAACCCTTAATGTGTTTATACCTCACCACAAAGTATCAAAATTTGTGAGGCAAAAGCTGATAAAACTGCAAGGAGAAATAGAGGTTAACACTATTACAGTTGAGATATCCACATCTCTCTTTTAGTAAGTGATAGATAAGCACTCAGAAAAATCAGTAAGGAACGAATTGACCTAATCTAAACAGCAGTCTTAACTAACTTGATCTGATTGATATTTATAGAACACTCCATCCAACAACAGAATACACATTCTTCTCAAGCTCCTGTGGAACATTCATCAAGATACAATGTAGTGGGCCAGAAAACGCATCCTAACATATTTAACAAAACAGAAATCATATAATGTATGTTGAAGACCACATGGAATTAAACTAGAAATCAGTAAGAAATAAGAAATCAAGCTAAAAATCCCCAAATGTTTAAAAATTTAACAGCACAATTCTAAATAACACATAGGTTAAAGTCTCAAGAGAAATTAAAAAGTATTTTAATCTACATGAAAATGAAAATATAACTTACCTATATATGTGGAATGCAGTGAAATTGCTGCTGAGAAAGTTATAGTGTTAAACACATATTTAAGGAAAGGAGAAACATCTAAAATCAATAATCTCAGTTTTCCCCTAAAGAAAAGAGACAAATAGGGTGGCTCAGTGGTTAAGCGTCCTACTTTTGATTTCAGCTCAGGTCATGAACTCGAGATCTATCATGGGATAGACCCATGCGTTGGGCTCTGCACTAAAAGAGTGGAGCCCTCTTGGGATTCTCTATCTCCCTCTCTCTTTCTCTCTCTGCTCCTCCCCTGCTAGCACTCTCTCTCAAAATAAGTAAATAAACATTTTTTAAAAATAGGAAAAAAAAACCAAAAATACAGTAAGCCTAATTATAAGAAAGTAAGCCATATTACAAGAAAGGGAAACTACAGGCCAATATTTCTCAAGAATATAGATGTAAAAAAAACCTCAACAAAATATTAGCAGGTCAAATCCAAGAATGTATAAAAATTTATACATCATGATTAGCTGATATTTATTCCAGGTTTACAAGACTGTTTCCAAATTTGAAAATCAAGCCACACAATACATCAGACTAAAGAAAAAAAATATATGCTCGTATCGATAGATGCAGAAAAAGCATTTGACAAAATCCAACACCCATTCATAATAAAAACTGTGAACAAGCTAGGAATCGAGGGTAACTTCCTAAACTTGATAAGTAACATTAAAAAAAAACACTATAGCTAAGGTTACATTTAATTGTAAGAAATGACACTTTTTCTTTAAGATTGGCATTAAAGCAAGGCTATCCTTTCCCAACACCCCTATTCAAAATTGCACTGGAAGTCCTAGTTAGTGAATGAGACAAGAAGTAATTGGAATTTATGGATTTGAAAGTTTGACATAAAGCTACCACAGATGACATGATTATCCATGAAGAAAATACCAAAGAATCAGTAAAGAAAACTTCCTGGAACTATTAAGGGCATTTCACAAGGCTGCAAGATACAAGGATAACAACAAAGTCAATTGTCCTATATCCCAACAATTAACAATATGAGCCACCAAATAAAGCAGTATGGATTATAACCAGAAGTATAAAATTAATATCAATGAGTCCGTATTGAAACATTTTTGTAAAATAGATACTTGGAAGAAAAGAGATAAATTTCTTATGTGGAATAATTTTTAATAATTTATGCAGATATCCTGCCCTCAAGGAGGTGGAGTTTAACCCCGTAAACCTTAAGTGTACATTCTACATACTGACTTCATTTTTTTTTAATTTTTTCTTTTTTTTAATTTTTTATTATATGAAATTTATTGTCAAAATGGTTTCCATACAACACCCAGTGCTCATCCCAAACAGTGCCCTCCTCAATACCTATCACCCACCTCCCCTCCCTCCCACCCCCCATCAACGTCAGTTTGTTCTCAGTTTTTAAGAGTCTCTTATGCTTTGGCTCTCTCCCACTCTAACCTCTTTTTTTTTTTCCTTCCCTTCCCCCATGGGTTTCTGTTAAGTTTCTCAGGATCCACATAAGAGTGAAACCATATGGTATCTGTCTTTCTCTGTATGGCTTATTTCATTTAGCATTACACTCTCCAGTTCCATCCACGTTGCTACAAAGGGCCATATTTCATTCTTTCTCATTGCCACATCATACTGACTTCATTTTAAACAGTATGGTATGAAAAAGGAGAAAAAATAAACTTGAGGTGTGGAAACCTGGAAAATAGTGCTTTAGTCAAAGATCAAAGTAAACATCTACAGTATTAAGTCACAGTGATCATATGCACTCATGATATGCTGTGATGAAATGGCACTTTTTCTCTGTGGTCTCCTTTCCCAAAACCTATAACCCTTCTAATTATGGAAAAAAAAAAAAAAGAATCAGACAAATTTCAGAGAAAACCTAAAATTAAATAAATAAATAAATAATCTTCTTCATGTTTATTGTAAAAACTCTAGTACGTCTACATGCCAAAAGTGCAAACCAATGTTATGGTTCCTGTATTAATTTCGTAAATATTCCCTGTATTATTGGAAGCTTAACTGTTTAAAAAGTCCCATACGAATCTAATTTGGCAGTGTTGAGGGGCTCTATATGTTTAGAATTAGAAAGCTTTAACATAGTACCACAGTTATGGCTGTATTTTTGATTACCTAAAGTACCTACACTGTAAAACTACTGTATATAATACACTTCTGGTTACTTTCTAAAGCAGTAAAATATTTTGGAATATAATTTATGTTAATAGAATTTTGAAGCCCTTCACTTGTGTTTGCTTAAAATCAATGAGTTGTTACTGTCTGGGTGATAATTTGGACATATTCTTGTATATAGATTATTTCTAATAGATGAAACAATTTATTACTGTATTACACTATTTTTTATTCTCTTTACTGTTCAAAATAACGTGATTTTTTTATACTAGTACCATTTATTTCCTTTTATGTCAACATTTTCCCCAAAATGATTTAGCACCATTTAAGCATTTATACTTCAGGTTAAGTTGCTCAGTTTAGTTATATGCTTTAAGGAAAAATATTTTTTAAATAATATTTTATAAAATGCATTTTCCTTTGTTCCATAAATTATTTAAACCTTGTTCTAACATTTCTAGAAACTGAACGTTATTTAGATGTGTAAACTTTAAACTTCGTTTGAATGTGTATTCACAGCATATTTGTATCACTTCTCAAGTGATATTTTATAACACATTTTGTTTTTCTGTGAAGTCATTAGAGATAACATTTATCCTACCTATATTATATTTAATGCTATGATTATGTGTATTTTGACCAGAAATATGTTTTTGCTCAGGAATAACGATTAGTTTAAAAAATAAAAACACTTTAACTGACTTAGATATCCATCAAAATTTATTTCAGTGATGAATACTACTCTCACATTTTCTTAAGTCTTTCATCCTTATACTTCAGATGAGTTGTCAAGTCTTTATAGGGGTTACCATTCATGCCGTCAACATGTGAACTCATAGAAGTAGGGTCTTAATTGCTAATTCTTCCCTGAATTGTTTAGGTTTGAATCCAGCTTTAAGTACCCCATTGTAAGTCATTTCCTAAGAGCCCACATTGACACACCATGCTCAACAGAAAAATGAGATCTTTAGGGCTTAATATTACTGTTTGAAACATACTAGTTTAAATTCCATTTAAAGAATAAAATAAGGATTAAAGATCATTGCTCTATCCATATGAAACTTGTTAAGTCAAAGGTTTCATCCTCTTGAGCTCTAATCAAAATATTTAGTGGTGTCCAGGAAATTAATTTTCATCCTTCCTGAAAATATTTTCATGCTCAAAGCTTAAAATCAATTGAATGATGCCAGTAAGTCATTTTGAAAACTCTGCTTAGAGAGACTCAATATGTTTCATTTTTAAAACAGCAGAGATTTTTAAGCATAGTTAATAAATACAGATACAATTCTGTCTCAAAGATACCTTAAACTCAATTATTCTTTTGTAGGCACAATAATGCTTCCTAACCTCCAGTTTGTCCACAACCTAATTTCTGGGAGCTGTGACTATGTTACCTTACACTGTGAAAGAACCTTGCAGATGTGATTATGTTGATGACATTGATATGGGGAGATTACTCTGGATTCATCCAGATGGGTCCAATGTAATCGCATGAATACTTAAAAGCTGAGAAGCTTTTCTGACTATGGTATGATTATGGAGAAATGGACAGAGAGATGCAATGTTGCTAGCTTTGAAGATAGAGGAAGGGGATCACCATGGAATATAAGGTGTCGCTTAAAAATTGTAAAGTTCATGGAAATGGATTCTGCGCTAGAGCCTCCAGAAAGGAACATGGCCCTGTCAGTACCTTGACTTTAGCCTACTATGACTTGTGCTGAACTTTTAACCCACAAGACTTTCAAAAATAAATTTGCATTGTGTTAGGACAGGCAGTTTATATAATGTTTTAAATCACTAGTAGTAAAGTACCACACAGCCCAAAATAGGATTTATGTCTCTACATCAAACTGCATCCTTTCATACCGTTCTTTTCCTTACCAAGGGTATCTCTATATCTTTGATATTTATTTCCTCCACTATCTTGTAAACTTCATGAGGGCATGACCAATTTGATCAACAGTTTTCCCTAGATGACCTTGTGTAAGTCACACAGTATTGCATAGACCTCATTTGCCTTATCGATATATCTTACCTGTGTGAAATCATGAGCCTGAAAATAAAAGTTTCTTTAAAGCCTAAGCTATTTGTTTACCTATTAGGGAAATTTACTGAGGTAAGAATGTATATTTCTGTATTTCTCCCTATTCCCTACTCCTTATTTCCAAGCATATACCCATTACTTCTGCATTTATGTTAGGCATTTTTGGCAGAGCAGAAAGCAGTAGTTGCCTGGAGTTTTTCTTCCTGATTTTTGTAGAAATCTAAACTTACCAAGGGGGGTGTTCTGGAATATATTCTTGTACTTCCAAGGGCAAAAGGATAGGGAAAGAAGAAAATTTCCAGAGATAGCAGATAAATAAAAAATTGAGAAGGGGGATAGAGGTGATGGGAGAGAGAGACTAATGTCCACATACTGTGGCACATATTTGGGGGTGCATAACACTTGGGAGGAAACAGAGGGATGACTGTGTGATGTGTCTTCAGAGGCTGAATTGTGGGCACTGAAGTCCAGAAGTCGGCCTGGAAACGACAGAGCTTATAGCCTAGATGGTTTTACAGACTGTACAATGGACATCTCAGTAGGAGCCAAGGTGGACTACTATCCAGCACAGATTCCTCCTTGTTACCATGGCTCTATGTCAACTACTACAACTTTAGGAGAATCTGGGTTAACAGATTGAATATCTCACCCATCTGGCAGAACAAGGATGCAGAATTAGAATTAAACTGATATCAAGAAAATAACAATATATCTAAGACACCTGAGCAGCTGTATTAAAAAATCTATATTAAATGGAGGATTGCTACATACTGGCTATGAAGTATTTCAGCACTCAACTTGCATATCTATAAGTGATAACTCTGATGAAATATATTGT